GGAATGCCTTGGGGCTAACTTAAAAGCAGGCCCCCATGGTGTTAGGTGCTATACAAACATGGAGTAGTTGACTGTTCCTGGACTACTTTGGTGACCTGAAATGCTTGTAAAACACCTTGGTTAGGAGTTTTACCATATACCCAGGTCTGATTTTCAGAAAATGGAAGACAGATTGTGTAAGGAACGGGCGGATGAGTAGTTTAGGCTGACATATGTGGGACTTCTGTGTGTGGAGGTGGGGGCAGGGGGATATGCTAAGAGATAAGAGCAGGGAAGATGAAGTAAGGTTATGCCTATATTGCCTCCAGACCATACTAATCAGCACTGCATTGAAGTGCAGCCTGCCTACTCTGTGTCCCCCACACCCTGAAAAATGTAATGCAGCTGCCTCAGGACAGTGCTGGGTGGGTACCATCGGCTGTCGGCTGTGTTTTGAGGGCAGCAACATTAAGAATGTGCTGTGTTTGAAAGCTCATCTTACTCTATTTCAACTATGCAATTGGTCCGATATTACCCTAAGAAATCCTTGTCTCTGGCAGATACATGACACATCTTGGGGTGGGTCATGCAGAAGAGGTATATCGTGCTTCTTACAGCCCTCCATACTGTGGTCTGGACATAGCAAAGATGTGCCTCAAGGTTCTTAAAGGTCTTCATCACCTTGAAGCCCAAGGGGAAATGATCAGCTGGTCTACGGGCATGGTTAGGACCCCACTCTAGTTTATGAGAGAGGGTGCTTGCATACTGGACCCCAGATAGGAAGCTGGAGCATAGTTAATGGGTAATGTAAGCTGATACAATGCCACAAAAAGCAAGGTGTTTCCTTGAAGAAAGCCAAATTACACATACCCCTCACCATCACACTGGCAATGAAACACCCCCTCTCCTTCCAGTAATGCCTGCATTGCCACTCTACCACCCCTCCCCACTGCTCAAAGAGGACATAGTTGAACTGGACTAGCCACTTGGCCTGGCATGAATGCACACAGTGCCCTCATTGTGGCCTCAGCTGCTAGCCTGCCAAGTATGAATACACTCAAGCACCACATCCACATGGAGGGAAGTATTTAGTACAGAAGAAAAAATGGATGACTCACAAAGTTTCCAGGCTGTGCAGGCCTTCAAAGCCATTGGTCCCCAGGCTCTGGATTCGGTTGTTGTGGAGGTGACTGCAAAGAAAATGGAGATAATTAAATGGGAAAGAGCTGCACTGTTTTTTCCCCAGCAATCTCTGAGCCATGACTCAGTGGAGCTCTGCAGGCCAATTACCACCTGGAGCAGGCTAGGTACTGTGGTATCATGTATACCTTGTCAGGCATCTATGAGGCAGGCTCTGTAAGCCAGGCCTCTCAGGGCAAACAGAACACAAGCAATATAGAGAGGCACTGCAAAACCCATGTGTAGTGGTATAGTCTCTTTGAATAAGCCTACACTACATTTGAAATACCTGACTAGAGCACAGGGATGCACACTCACAGTAGCTTAATCTAGCCAGCTCAAGGACTGACAGCAGTCAAACAAGGAGCCGGCATGAGCCTCAGAGTAGACTGCAGCAATGACACAGGTGGCTGAAACCTATGGGAGCCCCTGCTACAATGATTTTGTTGCTATTGGTACCTGGGGTATCTAGCTTAAAGCTGTTCTGGGTGTGCTAGCCTGTGAATTGTGATAGAACCTAAAAAGGTGGAGGAAAAAGAAACACTCTAGTCTTCCCTGTGCTGAAATCAGAGCAACATTCATTTGGAGTAGAGCAGCATTCATGGTAATTACTAGCTCATGGTCAGACAACGGGGGTGGGGGTGGGTGTATGCTCCAGCTGAAGCTTTTGGTAGCACTTCTTCAAGGAAAAATTAGAAGAAGCACTTGCATGGGCCCCAGTTCAGAGCTGGATCTGCAACTGAATCGGAGGGTTCCCAAGATGGTGCTGCTTATGCCCTCTGGGATGGATGATAGAATATGTTGCACTCCTTGGACTCCCATTCACTAAGATTCCCCTACGACTTTAGCACTTAATTGCACACAGTCCTGCTAGTTGTGCTTCCTGCCAAACACACCTGGGTAAGTTAATCTCAGTTTGTACATCCCTCTAGCACCAAGCAGAAGCAAGCCACACCACTGAAATGACAGCAGAAGAACAGACTGACCAGCTAACACATGGCATGCAATTGGTACCCACCCTGGAAATGGAGAGGGAAGATGCTATCTAAGGAGCTTGGGTGCCTGATGTACCTTCACTTTAACAGGAAGCCTTTGGGACACTTTGAAAATCTTGGTCTAAACTGCCAATGCGCTTGGGGTCCAGCTTTAATGATCCTCAGCAACTACTCCTGGGCCCTGGATAAGAGTCACAATCATTTGGGAACAGATCTCCTTCCTTTACAATAAGTGCAACAGAAATCACCCCCTGGTTTACGTGCTCTCTAGAGCTCCATGGGTCTCAGTGCCCAGGTAGAAGCCAAGGCTAAAGTTAGCAAGAGGGTATGTAAAGCAAAGAAGAAAATCTGCACCCCAAGAGGCTTGGGAACAGCAAAAGGAAGGTTTTGAGCTCTGTCCTCATGTCTTCAGTTACAGTTTTATTATCTTTGTTTGCAGAAAAAATGGAAATATTTCCAGATTTAGACTCCTGGATTTACTCCAGTTTGACGGCAATTTAAAGGTTATCTGCAGTTTAATGCTTTAAAAATGTCTAACCCTGGAGCTGAGTGGCTAACATGACATTCTGATATGCATTATCCACATAAAGTCAGCAATTCTTTTCCTTTTTTTTCTCCTCTCTTAATCTCCTGCTGTCCAAGTGCCATGTATTGTGAGCCGCAACTGTTATTGCTAACACTAGCAGCCCCATGCACCATGAAGCCTTTGTGTTAATTTTGTTCCTGGAGATCCATGTGCTAGCTGTCTTGTAAGGGCAGCATGGATTGTAAAGTTACCTGTGTTACTTCTGTCTTTGAGGCCCACTGGATCATAAATTCCTACGGAGTCAGGGCTGTATGCATTTTGAAGGCCAGTGGCTTATTTTTAGGTCTTAGTTTTTGGCAGAACCAGCATCTTTGTTGCTGAATTATTCTTTCTAAGTTGTCAGAGGTATTGTATTGCATGTGTCCCTTTGTGTATGTGAGCATATGGGTGCATTAGACACCTGGCTCCCATTAACGCTGGTGATGGCGATATGGCTAAAGCTCTTTACAGTCCCCTGAAATTCTAGGTCCAGATGATCGGATCCCTTGCACACAAGCAGAAGGCAGCAAGCACCAATGGGGCAGTCTGAGCTTTACACTGGTAAGCACTTACTCACATGAGTAGTGCTATTGATTCCAGTAGGACAACTCCCATGGGCAAGAGCTCACCAAGCAAGTAGGAGCTCAGGGCAGTAGGGGTGCTGTGGGGAAAGGGGAAGGATGGAAGGAGGCAGAGTTGTTTCTTATCTCCTGCAGTAGAGTAGATCTTCCCTTATGCAACTCCACAAAATCACTCTGTCTTCTATTTCCAGGCTCTCTCCCCTCATACTGTACTTCTCGATAATACACCAAGAGATTTTATATTCCCTGTGATATAAAGTGTTAATCTATTACCATAGTGTTACTGGGCAGTCTCTTCCTTCCTGGTCTGTGTTCTGGAAAGCATCAGGTTGTGTCCTATAATACAGCCTCCTTAAAGTGGCCTGGGGAGACTCCAAGCCCTAGCAGGTGATCAGTGACATTGTTGTTACTTATTCTTGGTCTAAATCAGTCTCGGCTCAAGAAAAATCTCTCTTCCCCACCTGGATTCAAGTGTAAGATGTTTGGCTGCATCTGTGTAGCCAGTGCCAAATGCTCTGTGGAAAAGCAGCAGGGATTTATGAGTGGGGGAGCAGCCAGGCTCCGTGTGGTAGTTAAATGGAGCTTTGTGACAATCAAAACACACCTCAGAAACCAGCCCGAGTCTCCCCTAGAAGCACGTTTCCATCTCGTCATTAAGAGAGCATTGAAGGAGTTTAGATGATGGTGGAGGGGTGTGGGGGAGAGGGGACTACAGCAAAATTTATTGTTTGCTCCTCGAGGTAAGTGGGGACAGGAAAAAGCAGCTGCCTGCAAGAAAATTTGGATCGACCGTGACTCTCAAAGGAGGAGAAAGATTTAGATCAAAATGCAAGTCAGGAGATTAGAGGAGCTATTTCTCTTTGTCACAGAGCAATAACTTCCAAGTCCAGATGGTTTCCTCTTTCAAATTTTATGGGGCATTTTCAGATCAAGTTGCCCTTACATCACTTCGGACTATCAACCCAGGACAACACCAAACGTTTGAGTCCCTCAGAATGCTGGATACTTCATCCGACAAGCCCAAGGCTGGGATCTACAGCTGCTGGTACCGCACTGCGTGTTACCCAGGAAGAGAGGTGCCAAAGAAGGGGGCTGGACAATGAAATTCCAGTCCTGTAGGGCAACTGTTCATGACAGATCCTTAGCTGTAGAAGCTACTCCTTTTGGGGGCTCTGCCCCAAATAACTGATCTTCAAGGCATTACGCATGACATACCAAGTAGCATTCACCAAGGAGGCGTTGGCAGAGACCTTTGAGCATAAATATCAGTTTGGCTAATAGGTTGGGGGAAACAGAGGTCAAGCGTGGGTCTCATTATGGAACAGTGCATAAGAGATCTTTTAGGAGAGGCACCCATAACCACGATTAGCCAATGTCCTACACTACTTGAGCAAAATAGTGTAGTGTCATAAATAACATCAGAAATAGGCAGTGCCCTTCATTTGGCTCACGACCACACTTGCTAGCTTGAAAAATCTCATGATTTTTAAAACAGCCATTTTCCTCTAGTCATACTTCTTTGCCAGATTGATTTCTTCAGTGCTGTTGGGTAGCAGATTACTCCTCCACGACTTCCATTTGTGACTACTACTCGCTTGGGTCATATCAGCCATCTTGAAAGGAGAGAAAAACTAGGCTGGTCTAGCTAAAAATTGGCCCAGGCGTGTTTTGGTTTGAAACCAAACACTGACAATCCCAACCGAGAAATGAAAGCTACAGGCAACTGAAAAAAACAGGGTTGTAATAGAAACTGATGGCCTCTATTAGCTGCTTTCAGGGAATCCTGTAAGAACGGAAATGCTGACAATGACTTGGCATAAGCTGGTGATATATGAAAAAAGGACTTTCTCTTCCCTTCTGTCCCTTTGCCTTCCATGGTAAGCAAATGACTTTGACACATGGAAGTGAAGGGCAGAATCCTATTGCACTTCAAGTGCTCAACTGGCACCTCTTCAGCTGCAAAACAGGCATTTTGGGCATTTATGCAGTTTGCAATTCCATTTCCTGGGGCAGCGTGGATGCACAAACATCCATGTTACTACTGAGCATTCGCAGCAGGCTGCACTCTGGCTGCACATGTGCATGGCTCTGTACCCCCGTGCAATTCCACCACTGCACCACCCCCCTGCTCCTGCTCATGACTAGCAGATATTAGGGGGAGGAGGACCCTCCACATTTTAGCCCAGTGACTTAGTGGTTAGGACACTCACTCAGGAAGTAGGAGACCCAAAGTTTAAGGTCCTCCTCATTCAGAAGTTTGAGCCTACATTTCTTGTGCTTCCCACTGATCAGCCAAGAGGAAGAGAACAAGCTAAAGTGTGGGTATGGCTGTTACCCTGAATGGGAGAAGGCCTTGAAGGAGGCTGTTGCCTACAAGCACTCATGCCTCTCTGAACCAGTTAGTCTCTAAGGTACCACCCTGTCTACCTTCTACCATCTACCGTCCTGTCTACCTTTCAAACTAACATGGTTAACCACCTCTTTGGTTACCCAGCTATCGGCATATTTTTGGTAGCCATGTAGATGCTTGCATATTGCCAACACTGACCATGGAATAAGACTGCAACTATGTGTAGCTGTCAAAAATAACAGTTAAGTGGGCTGGGCCTTTTTTTTTTTGCAGAAAAGCTGTTGAGTTTACTGTTCCTTTGCAAGAGAACAGCCACCCAGCCAGGGAGAGAAAGGCTCCTGCAATTCCTTGACTGCACAGCAGTCGATAAGACTGAAAGACACATCAGGAAAGAATTATAGGATCCACCTGTGTCCAATAAAGAATAAATAATAAACCCTAAAAGGAGGTTTCTTGTCCCATTTTAAACTTTCTCATCAGGATATAGTCTTCTGCCTTATTAAAACAGGGTTGATTCCAA